TGCTCTATATATCCTTTATTAAATGGTTCAAGTCTGTAAATAAACCGGAAGGAAGTGTTATTTTTGTAAGTCTATCCATGCATAGACTAATACTGAGTTACGTGTTTCATGCAATATTACCTCCCTGCCCCTTTAAAAATACACACTTTTTGATGAGGGTTGAAAAATAGTATTCCCCTTGGATTAGTGCTCCCCCTTAAATAATAATTGAGGGCTATTCTAGAGAGTAGTGCCCACTAGAATAGTACATACTAAACTATATTTAACTATCTATCTCTTCAAATCCCTCTTAGCCCCTCAAAATCCTCATATATCCCTTATACTCCTCAAGCTTCGCCCTTTTTCCTCAACTGTACATTCCAGATCCGACACGAAAATTAACCGACTTTTTTTTCAAACCGTATCATCACCTCTCCAAATGAATTACTTGTTTCTACGTCAACTGATTAATAATAGTATATAATCTTCCATTTTTTAGATCCATATAAGACTATTAATTTAAAAAATTACAGTCCTTTGTGCATAGTAGTGTATTTTTGTAAGTCTATCAATGCATAGACTAATAGTGAGTTATTCTCTAAATTCTGTTAAATCCCTCTTTAGCTCTCCAAAGCCTAGTCAACACCTCAAATCTCTCGATTTTTCTCTTAGCCTGTCCAAACCCTTCTACTGATCCGACCCGAAAGCAGACCTCGAGCTATGGGAAATACTCCATGTTTGGACAAAAAAAGGTTTGGACTAGGTCTGGACACCAGGTCTGGTCCGAGTCTGCAATTAATTTTTGAAATACTGGACTTGAAAAAGGAAATGTTTAAGTAATAAGTAGAAAGACACGAAACCATAAAAGTTTAGAAAGTAAGGTAAAATTGTCCTTAATTTTGTTTCCAAGTTTAACTTCCGTGTTTTATCTACTTTTATTAGTTGAATAAATTTTTTTTAAAAAATTTAACCATCGCGTGACTATTTAAATATTTAAAATTCACACGCTTTTTATTCAAATTAAACTTACATTTTTTTTTGTTACAGCTGTCATATTAAGAAACTCAATATTTTATAAACACAAAATATAAATTTTTTTATTAAACTTTTTTTATTAATTATCAAGAATTTTTTTATTAGGTCAGCGAGCTTTCTATGTTTTCCTTGTAACGTATTTTTGGAAGTCTAGCTGTGCTATGACTAATTTAAAGCAGATAGCTAATAACTGATTCTAAGGCAACTTTAGCAACATCAATCTTCAAAAGATCCCCTCTGAGCTCTGAACGTCCTGACGTATAAGGATGATTCCTTTAAAAAGCTTAGACGAGGGTAAACGATCTAGCTCGGTAGTAGGGCACCTGCATTTTTTGTGGGAGGCCGAGCAGTTCCTGCCATGGAGCAGTTCCTGCCCGGTTGCTAAACCTATGCTAAACTCCTCTTGGGAACTCTGATGGAAGATGCCATAGACACAAACTCTATTCAATCCTTAAGGCTATACAGGCGTTAGCATGGTTAATAGATAAGGAATTAGTCCGTTGAATTGAGGATCCCAACTAATTGACTTTATGTATTATCTAGGGGGAAATGTTAGCCAAGTTTAGCTTTATTAGCTAGAGATTGGTCCTCTCAAGTATATACCCTTTCCAAATGGATGACCCTCTACTTATGTCTTATAATTAGTCATAGTATATAATTATTCATTATTTCGATCCATATTAGATGTGTTGTTATTTCAAATAATTCAAACTTTTGCAGGAGATCTTTGTATTTTTGTAAGTCTAGCAGTGCTATGACTAATATTGAAAAAAGTCAGGAAGTTTCCAGAGATTCTCGTCAGGAAGTTTTCATACGATTCTCGGTGTCAATCGCAGTCCGGTCTCTAGTTCTACTTATACTCTGACAAGTATAAGTATACTGATCCGACCAAAACCTAACTAGACTTTAGTCTCACCCATTCCCATCGCTACTCCCTACTTAAACCGATTAAATTAATAAGCATTAAAATCCTAATATCTATCTATCATTTTAGCTATGATCTTTAATAGCTTGCAAAAAATAACAAGTTAGAAGGACGAGCAAATCTTCCTTGTACATCTCTATTTTTACTTTTAAAGTTTTTATTTTGTTAATACATATTTTGTAAATTATTATTTTATCAAATTTTAAATTAAAATTTATCTTTCGCGTGACAAGTTAATTTATAAAAATTTATACGCCTTTCTATATACAATTTAAACTTAATTTCCTTTGTTTCAGCTGTCATTCTATGAAACTCTAAAAACTTTAAACATAAATTTTTTTATTTTTCTGTCCTCATACATATGCATTATTAATTTTAAGGAAGTTCAAGCCAGTTGTTGTACCTTCTTTGTGGTATTTTTGTAAGTCTAGCAATGCTAGGACTGATAGTAAAATTCCCTTTCAGCCGTCTAAATGACCTTTTTCACAAATTTACTGATAAATAATTGGTTCAGCTCGGCATTATTTAATATAGAATGACTCTCAGCCTTAGGGTGACCCCCAAATTGAATTACCCCAAAATAATAATTCTAATAATTAAAGTATATGATTTCTCATTATTTCGATTATATGTATATGCTTCATTAAATAAAAGACGTTTCAATTCATCGTAGCGTCGGCTAGTTATTTTTGTAAGTCTAGCTACCTAGACTAATATTGAGTTAATCTAAAAGTGTAATTATTGGAGAGGAGGACTCTTTATCATAAGTCTAATAATTAAAGTGATAATTTTTCATTATTTCGATCATTTATGCTTTATTAATTAGAGATGTTTAAATTTGGCAGCTGCTTGCAATTTATGTACATATTTTTGAAAGTCTAGCTCTACCTAGACTAATATTGAGTTAATCTAAAAGTGTAATTATTGGAGAGGAAGACCTCCGCCTTAGGATGACCCCCAAATTGAATTACCCTCTATCATAAGTATAATATTTAAAGTATATAATTTTTCATTATTTCGATCATATATGTACGCTTTATTAATAAAAGATTTTGTAATGTTGTGGCTTTTATAGTTTATTTTTGTAAGTCTAGCTATATCTAGACTAATATTAAGTTGATCAAAAAGTTTAGTTCCTAAATCCCTTCAATCCTCACAAAGATATTCCATGTTATCCTCTGATTTTGAATTCTAAAGAGGTTTTGTAAAAACATCTCTATTACGGAGACCCCCCGTTAAAAATTTTATAATAAACCTTTCTAAAAATCACGTTAATTACGCCCCTCCCCACCCGCTCTATTAATTACCCAATCTAAAATTAATTACCCAATCTCTATTAATTACCCAATCTTAATTACCCAATCACAATTATTGCCCAGTGTAATTATTTATGTATTAAGAATTCGCTATACGATTTATTATCATCCAATACTCGCGGAAACTCTCAGTCCGGTCTCTAGTTATTTCTAGGCCTCAAAAGATATTTTATTTAAAGCGCAAACGTTATCCAGAAATTCTAGAGACCGAACTGGAGTGCCCATTAAAAATTTTAGAAATGAGTTTAGATTTAAATTCTTCAGAAACTCATGGAATTATTGGATTAATAGATCATTTAAAATTTCGAATGTTTTGCTGCAGCAATGATCGCCGCTTCAATTTTTACAGAAACGAGGCTGAAAAAAGAGAAATATTGCGGAGGGCACGTACTATTGACGAAGAAATTGAAAATGAGAAAATGTCCATTAAAAAGACGTTAAAAATACTTCTGTTAGGTATGTTATACGGTCAGAACTAGGGTTGGGGGAACGAACAGCCCGGTCCGAATGATCGAGTCGGGCATCAAATTTTGGTCCGAAAAAGACTCGGTCGGGCCGGCCCGATCTCAAACCTTAAACCTAGTCAACCTAAACCTTAAACCTAGTCAGAACCATTATAAGCTACCCTATTGTAGAGACACTTACGACAGCGCCCCTAACTCTTGAATAGTGTTCGGCACGATTTAAAGCAAATGCTTACTACCAAAATAATTTTGACACTGCTAAAATTTTAGAATTTCGGTCTCGAACATGGCCAGTTCTTTTGATACTACTGGGGTCAGTATCGAAATAACTCATTTGCCGAATACTACTCTTAAATTAAGGTGTCTCGGCCTCACGGTTCTATGACCACTCCAAAATAAGTACTGAGCTTTGGTTAATTTTTTATCCGAAAAATTAATATTTGTTTAATATTAATTTATATTTAATTTACTCGTTAAAAATAGTAGCTAAATAATGTTAGGCACTTCGATATAGCCCTTGTTGAATATTTTATTTTTGTATGCCAAAATAATATTTGGTAATAAATTTATTTTTAATTTTTAGGTGGTCCAGAAAGCGGCAAAAGCACTATATTTAAGCAGATGAAGTAGGTTTTTTTAGATTTTAATTTGAATTTAGTAGGGGAAGGGGTTTCCCGAGGAGGTTATTGCCCCGACGGGAATAGAAAATAATCCTCTTTCACAAACATGAATTCCCCGGAACACCCATTATCCGTGGAATACCATTCCGGAACAGGCATCCCCATTCCCACAAAATTCGTTATAAAGCAGTTCAATTTTTCTTTCTTTGAATACAAGAAAAATTAGCCTAATCACTCTAGGCTTACAAAGAAATAATAGTTGGCCGAACATTTATTTACTAAATTTTTTAATTTAAATTAACTCTTTTATCTCTAGCTTATAAACTAATGAATATTAATTAAAAATCGGTAATAAAAGACAAAATCCTAAAATGGTTGCCGATTTCACTAAATTTTTTGGTTAACCAAAATTGACCGGCAAACCAGAACGAAAACCTAAAATTCTCACTAATATGTAGTAAAATAACTATCGTGAATTAATTTAGTACATACGGTAACAATAAAACTGAATTCAAAAAATTAGCCTAAGCGCTGCTAGGCTTGCAAAAATACCTTGAATGTTTGAACTCTGGTAATTGTTCTTTTAAATTATGAGTTACCCTTCTCCTCAACTTTATGAATTAATTAATATTAAGTAAATTATTTTTAAAGAATTCTACATATGAACGGCTTTACTGATATTGATTTGCTCAATTATCGCTATCTTGTGTATAGCAATTTAATTCAGGGAATTAACCAATTAATCGAAGGAGCCAAATTAATGGAGATTGAGATCAGTAGTGATGTTGTGGTTGGTTTATTTGTTTAAAGGGTAGAGGAGGAAAGGTGTTAAGGAGTGGGCGCACGAGACAATAAGATCAGATTTGCTGTTTTGAGGAAGCTCGATTATACCGATAGCTCATTCAGAAGAGCTCTGAGCTTAGTCGAATGACACCTAAATCACCTTAATGCAAAGATTCTGAACACGATTTTAAATTTTTTTGGGGGTGACATACATAAGTGATTCAGAAGTTGCGAAACTGAGGAAGCATTTAGACTATAGATGAACCCAGACGAGCTCACAAATGAGCTTAGGCTGTCGAATATAGAAATTCCTCAAGATATCTATCGCTATTCTCGTATGAGTTCGGCCTTTACTTAAAGCCAAAATTTTTGACCCAAACTCCCGTTTTCAAGTCAAGCAATTTTGCTGATCCCCCATAAAATTTATATAAAATTAAAAAATAATTTTCAATAATTAAAGGAAGACGTTGCAACAATAACTAATTATTACCAAACTACACATCCTGCAGAATTAGAATTAACTCCAATGTTGGCTCTGCATATTAGAAGGGTATACAAATCTGAATTTATAGTGAAAACGCTTAAAAAACAACATGAAATTGTGCTGCTTGACTCGGCTGTCTAGTAAATTTTTTATAATCTTTTTTTGAAAAACTCCTTGAAATTATACTTCGATAAGCTTATTTATATGCCTAGTAGTGACTGTAATAAAGGTGTACCAAAATCACATTAACGGGCCAAATGTGTTGAAAATACGCAAATTTACTCCTTATTTAAAACTAATTTATAATCCCTTAATATATGTCAAATATGTAAATTTGTTCGATAACTTTGCACTTCTTATTGATGTATTTTTGTAAGCTTAAGCAATGCTTTAGCTAAAGCTTTTTTGCAATTAAATTTTGTGGACAAAAAACTCCTAAAAATTCTTAAAAATTTGGATCGAATAGCAGACTAGCTGTAACTCTCCCCAAATTGATAGGAAAACACCATAGATTTACTCCTTATTTAAAAAAATTTATAATTTCTTAGTAAAATAGTAAATTAAATTTGATAAAAAAAATCACCACTGTGCCATTTGATTATTTTTTAGAGAGCGAGCTGGATCTGGATCCAGACCTTGATTTTTCCTGGATCCAGAGTCCAGATCAAGGCATTTTTCAGAGTTCCTTGATTTTTCCTTGACCTTGATTTTTCCTTGACTCAAGGTCAAGAATCTGGTCAAGGTACCCAACCAAAATCAAGAATCAAGGTCAAGGTCAAGGCAAATTTTTTCCTTGATTTCCTTGATTAATTTTCCCCCCAATATATCAACAAAATGCCATTAAAATCGTGTTTTTTCTCCTTCAGAATGTAATTGGCGAAGCATTTTTCTTTCTCTCTATGTATGTTTTCTATTCTATTTTTTATGCAGACCTATTATATTTTCTTGCGGTACACCTCAATTGACGATTGAGTATTAGGGTTCAGCGGTATCGGGATCCCGACCGGTATCGGGCGGTATTATACCGGTCTCTGAATACCGATACCGATTTTACTGATACCGATATCTATTGGCTCCTGAGATGTTTTTGTCTCGAAAATAGCTTTATAGTGCTAATTTATCATCTTACTACTGATTAAAACCTTTTTCAAAATGCAGAATGAATTTATTTATTAAAGATTAAAATTAATAAAAAAATTTTTTAGGAAATACCGATACCGATTTTTAAATCCCGATCCCGGGTCGGTATCGGTACCGGTATCAATAACTCAAATCCCGATACCGATTTAGGCTAATCCCGATCCCGAGTCGGTACCGGTATCGGGATCGGTATCATCAATCCGAAATACCGATACCGTTTTTTTCTCGGAATACCGGTACCGCTGAACCCTATTGAGTATATATACTTTAGTTAGTCCCCATCAAGGATGTAGCCTCCTGGTATTCCCTTGGTCCCCATGGAGGGATAAGGATTAAAGTGATAAAGTGGATGTGGACGATATACGTGAATATCCTAGGATGTGAACGGATATATGGGGACGAATATACGGAGATCCACGGATATCCCCGTATATCGTCCACATATCCCTCTTAATCCCCTGATATCCTTCAAATCCCCCAAATACACAATATCACTGTTACGCCCTCTAAAGCTCAGATATTCAACTCAGTCCACCGATATCCTTTAATCGTCTAAAATCCTCTTATATTCCTCGATATCCGGTCAAATCTGCTTCCATATCCACTTAATCCCGCAATATCTCTATATCCTATAATATCCGCCTTTAAATACCAGCATATCCCACTTAATCTCCTGATATACGTCCAAATAAAAAAAATCAAGAATCAAGGCCTGGATCCAGGCAAAAATAATCCTTGATTTTTCCTTGACCTTGATTTTTCCTTGACTCAAGGTCAAGAATCTGGTCAAGGTACCCAGCTGAAATCAAGGTCAAGGATCAAGGTCAAGGTTTTTTGAAAATCTCGCTCTCTATTATTTTTGCAAGCTAAGCAATGCTTAAGCTAAAAATAAAGTTTAACGACATTATCGTAGAAAAGAAAAAAATTTAACTAAATAAAACTTCCATTTTTTTAGTTTCCTTGAAAATTTGGATCGAATAGCAGAAAATGATTACAAACCAAATCATCAGGTAGAGTAATTTGTATTTCTTCCTTATTTTAATTTTGAAGGATATCTTGCGCTCAAGAGTACCAACTACGGGTATCTGTGACATTGAATTTAAATACAAGAATATGTCCTTGAGGTATTTTTTTGATATAGATTTGGATCTCGTTCATATACATATGTTGGCGGCAAATTTCATTTTCAAAAATTTTAAACTTGTTCCTTCTATGGAATATAATTCCATAAAAAATGTAAGGTTTTGGGTCGGGTTTTGGAATTTTTCTCGGGGTTGGGTCAAAAAAGCTCCGGATTTCGGGTGAACCTTGCCATCCCTGATATATACTCCTCGATGGACAGAAACTTGATACTAAGATTAGACGTGTACACACTGATGTACGCGAACCCAATGTACAGCCGTACTATAACTTCGCTAAAATTTATTGAATCCGGGACGCCATGTATGGCTCAATGCGCATTGGTGAGCTAAATCGAAATATACCAAGGCGTCTCAGATTCGATAATTTTGAACAAAGTTATAGCATGGCAGTACATTGCCTGTTAACGATTAGACAAATATAAATCAGGAGATCAATGGAAATCTGTTGTATTTAAATAGCCTTAAAAGCATCAAATTTAGAATGGTCGATGTTGGTGGCCAAAGATCAGAGCAACGCAAATGGATACATTGTTTTGGTGAATTTATTAAGTTTAAAAAAGCCCTCTAGCTTAGAAGATTTGTAAAGGTAACTAAGTTTCCTCTCCAGCCTAGCTTATTAAGCAAAATTGAAAACCATCAAGCCCCGTATAACATGAACGAAGAACGAACAACTTGGGAACGGAGAACTCTCACAATCTAATCAAAGTTCCAGACAAATAAAAAATCAGTTTTTAGCTGAACATTATCAGCTTCCAAAAAATTACGGACACTCCGAATGATACGTACTTGCGTGTATCAAATAAAATTTAATATCAAAAATAAGATAATAATATAATAGATAACATGTAGTAATAAAGCTTGAATTATGTCATCCCTATGTTTCGGGAATTTATCGAAATTTTCTAAGACCAATACCGATCCAATCCTTAAGTATTTTTGGAAGAGTTTTACCGTATTACTTTATCATGTATAATATTACTACTTTGACATTTTTATCAAAGAACACTTTGATTTACAAAAATACGTAATTTCTCCTAGTCCATTTTTTTTCTTACGTTGAGGTATTATTCAATTTTCCGCCTCCTTTTAACTTTCGGTCCTTCTTCTAACTTAAAATTGCGAAGGACCCATCTCTCATGTATACATATAACATAGCGAGCGTGAACCATGTAAGACCAATGAAATAGTAAGAACGGTAAAATCCACCATTTCCTGGGACGGGATCAGCCCGTTAAGTAGCTAAAGTTAGTTATAATTAACTTATTATTATGTTGATACTTGTCAAAGAACGATTTGACATCCAAAAATAAAGCGTGTAGCGAATCGTAATAACAGTGAACGGAATTATATTATCGTTAAATTAATCAAAGTTTAAATAAATTAATACATATTATTCTAATTATGCTAAGACACGCTTATCTCAGACAATTTCTTATCCCCAAGTGTTATCTGGTTTTGGAATTTTCCTGCTTTCACCTCCCGACTACTCATCCTTTTTGACAGTTCTATCTAATTTTTAGATAACGTCAATGGTGTCCTTTTCGTAGCTGAACTTTCTGGATATAACCAAATGTTGTTTGATGGAGAACAAACAGTCAATAGACTAAAATATAGCTTATATCTGTTCAAAAGGATTGTGAATAACAAGTTTGGAATTTTTAAATATCCAAAAATTATTTAAAAAATTTTCAGAGCTTTTGGTAAAAGAACGGCCATTATTCTTTTTCTTAATAAGGTAATAGTTAACTAGCGGGGACACAACAATCCAATACTCCTAGTCTTGACAAAACTAAAAGCATAATATTAAATAATTGAATTTTTAAATTATAAGTTTGAGAGAATTTTTTGTTTTGTCAGAGGCGACATGGACATTCCAAACATCTCATTTTTTGGAAGCCAATTAATATTGGCTAAATTTTACTGGCACACAAAAAAAGAATTTTTCATTTAGGTGGACATTTTTAAAGAGAGATTGGCTATATTTCCTCTCGATGTATGCTTCAGAGCCTATTCTGGTATATATTTAAAGTAGTGGTTTAAATGAACTGATCCATTCGATAGATGCTTGAGTCGATGTTTAGCTATAGCAAGGATATTTGGGGAGAGGGGGGGGGGGGTGGATTCCGTTATCGACTGAATCCGTTATTTTCTGTGCTCTTCTTCTTTATTTCCGTGTGTTCTCTTTCGATTTCAGACTCTTCTAAAAATTCGGCAGTATCCATTAAGGTTGTCGGATCGGGATCCGAAAAAACTGAGTATCCAAAATTTTATGTTCGGATACAGAATCCAAATCCGGATATCCGAGGATTTCCAACTATCCGATAACCTTAGTATCCAGCACTGGTAGATGTATTTCTTAACGCTTATCTAAAACTTTTTTATCCCAATTTCGAAATTTACTCTCAATATCAATTTTTATGTTAATTTATAGTCAAATACATATTAAGCGACTCAGGTATTAAATTGATACTCGTTGACCATGCTAATATTTTTGGGAGCCAAGCTATGTCTAGGCTAGTATGATAGTCGTTTTGCAAAATTATCAGACATTTTCATTGAGTTAATTGTCAACCTCATCTCAGAAAATAGAAAAACTTTATTAAAACACTTTTTAGGGGAGAACGAGTTTGACGCAACAGCAAATTATGTATCAGACAGATTCCATTCTGTTGTAGCACAAAACATGACTGAGGTGAAGACTGTATATACCCATTACACAAATGCAACCGATACAAGGAACATAGACAGGGTAAATTTAAAGAGCTTAAGCTGTCTAGCAGATTTACATCCACTGAGTCGCAGATTCTAACTCAGAGCCTTCCCCCATCTGCCGCGAGTTCTTCCTCACCCTCACTCAGAGCCAGGACTAAACTACACAAAGGACTAAAACTTCACCATCCGCCTATCAGAACCTAAAATCGGTCAGACTTTAAAAGACTGTATGATAAAGGATCTCGCTTAAATGCGTATGTATTTTTCAGCCAAAATTAAATAAGAGGAAGGACAATTGAAAAGCCGTGTCTATAATATAATTTTTTACATTATTTTAAGACTTAATATTAAGTACCATTGTGAATTAATACACAAAAAAAGCAGCACATCTCCGTATATTTTTGCAAGCCAGGCAATGCTTAGGCTAAATAATAATACAAAAATATTAAAAAAGTTGTGCGTTGATCTTTCCCTTATGAAATAACTTGTGGATAAATCTGAGCGATTTTTGGATCAAAAGGATTCCCTACTAATGACTATTTTATTCAAGGTATTCGAATCCTGCGTCGACGTTGTTTTCCGAGTCAGTATGGAGAAGGTTGGACTAAACTGAAAAAATTTTTCTAAAATAGCTGATAAATTGATAAAATTTTAAATGAATATTTCTTTAAATTTTATCATTTTTAATTATTCAGGCTGCATTGATGTAAATAAAATATCAGGAATTAATTCGAATAGTGCGATTGTTGGAATAAAATTGAAATAAAATTTTATATTATCTCAAAGTCGGATCACAATACAATTTATTTTACGGTCGTGAGACTCTTTTCACGGGGAAAGGGTCTAGTTTACGGTCGTGAGACCCTTTTCATGGTCGCGGGGGTTTTTTCCACGGTGTAAGGACGTTGGTACGAAATCTAAAATGAGAAATGCCTAGATGTCACACCCCTGCTTTAAAGATACCGTTTAAGATTGAGGTGCCCGATATATAGGTCCCTGAAAATTGAACAAACCTAGGGCGCCGTGTTCAGTTGATCAAACAAATGCTGTTTGATCTGAGTATTTAATATTGGGGTATCTTATATTGAGGTCCGACTGTATTTTAATTATTATTGAACTAATTATTCTACGTGTTTTATCAAAAGATTAAATAAACATTTTTTATTTATGAACATTTATTTAAAAGGTATAATCAAATTTAATTGTATAAATTAGGTTTTTGAACATTATGTGCTTTTTGATAAAAGGATACGGATTATTTTAAAATGCGGATTTAGAATTTTGGGTCGCTTAAAGATTATACGGGTTTTTACATAATATAAAACAATATGAGTTGGAACCATGGAAGGTTCTAGCCAACTTGCTCGTATGAAAGTACATTAAAAGCTGTCCCTAAAAATGTTGAACCGAATTAATATACTTTCAATACCCCAAAATTATAATCCTTGGAAGAAAAACCCCTAAATTAATTGGGGTAAAACAAAATTTTTTTCAAAAATCTTACCGTATATAGAGTATCGATAGCTCGTATGAAAGTACATTAAAAGCTGTCCCTAAAAATGTTGAACCGAATTAATATACTTTCAATACCCCAAAATTATAATCCTTGGAAGAAAAACCCCTAAATTAATTGGGGTAAAACAAAATTTTTTTCAAAAATCTTACCGTATATAGAGTATCGATAGCTCGTATGAAAGTACATTAAAAGCTGTCCCTAAAAATGTTGAACCGAATTAATATACTTTCAATACCCCAAAATTATAATCCTTGGAAGAAAAACCCCTAAATTAATTGGGGTAAAACAAAATTTTTTTCAAAAATCTTACCGTATATAGAGTATCGATAGCTCGTATGAAAGTACATATAAAGCTGTCCCTAAAAATGTTGAACCGAATTAATATACTTTCAATACCCCAAAATTATAATCCTTGGAAGAAAAACCCCTAAATTAATTGGGGTAAAACAAAATTTTTTTCAAAAATCTTACCGTATATAGAGTATCGATAGCTCGTATGAAAGTACATTAAAAGCTGTCCCTAAAAATGTTGAACCGAATTAATATACTTTCAATACCCCAAAATTATAATCCTTGGAAGAAAAACCCCTAAATTAATTGGGGTAAAACAAAATTTTTTTCAAAAATCTTACCGTATATAGAGTATCGATAGCTCGTATGAAAGTACATTAAAAGCTGTCCCTAAAAATGTTGAACCGAATTAATATACTTTCAATACCCCAAAATTATAATCCTTGGAAGAAAAACCCCTAAATTAATTGGGGTAAAACAAAATTTTTTTCAAAAATCTTACCGTATATAGAGTATCGATAGCTCGTATGAAAGTACATTAAAAGCTGTCCCTAAAAATGTTGAACCGAATTAATATACTTTCAATACCCCAAAATTATAATCCTTGGAAGAAAAACCCCTAAATTAATTGGGGTAAAACAAAATTTTTTTCAAAAATCTTACCGTATATAGAGTATCGATAGCTCGTATGAAAGTACATTAAAAGCTGTCCCTAAAAATGTTGAACCGAATTAATATACTATCAATACCCCAAAATTATAATCCTTGGAAGA